CTTCAAACATAAAACCCCATAGTCATGTCAGGTCCATCAGCTTACCATCTACATCAGACCAGCAATCCGTTTTCAATGAGTTGTACAGATTTCAAGCTTCTCAAGAACCTACCTCATCTTGTTCATCATCATCATTCGTAGGCGATAAACTAAATCGCCTGAATGATATGTATGAATCCATCCAGCCATTCCTTTCATTGCCGTCAACCAAACAATCTTTAGCCCAAGGGTGCCACAAAGAACAGCTAAACAAGTTTTTAGATGAACATATTGGGCTTTTGGATCTGTGTAGCACCACCAAGGATGCCTTGTTGATATCGCTGGATTATGCCAAAGAACTCCAGTCGGTGATTCGACGTAAGAAAGGAAATAATCATAGGCTGACATCCTCATTCGAGGCCTATCTATCGCACAGGAGAAAAGTAAAGAAGGCCGTTTGTAAAACATTGTCAGGTTTGCAGAAGCATTGGTCCTCTTCGGCCAAGGAAGGCCAGAGAACAAAATCAAACATCAATATGTTGAATGAAATGAGACTAAACACAATGGAAGTGTTTGAGTCGTTGTTGACTTTCGTTCATGGATCAAACACACAGTCAAAGCCAAAAGGCTGGTCTTTGGTGTTAAAGATGATGGGCGGGGACCGTGCACATTGTCATCAAACATTAGAAGACACTGAAGTTAAGAAGGTGGATCATGAGCTACATGCCCTGATCACCTACAAGAAAACAAAATCAGATAGCTTAGTTTTAGACCATATACAAGAAGGGTTAGCAGAAATGGAATTTAGTCTCCTAGATCTCAGTGAACAAGTAGAATGCCTTTTCAGACACTTGATCAAAACAAGAGTGTCAATTCTAAATATCCTTAATTGTTAGAAAAAAAATTGATAACTCCATTATTTAGTGATGTACATAATGTTTTAATGGTTACAGTTTTGTTACGATTGAATCACTTTTTTTACTGATGTACATCAGTCATGAAGAACTCCATTATTAATTCGGTATTTCTCTGATAGAAAATTGAATGATAGGCTATTTACGGATGTTATGGATCTCCACAAAATATTTAGAAAAGTTCAATTTTAGTATTTTCGATATTCAAACTTTTATAAATTAATCACCCTTTCATTTTGAAAAAACTTAATTATATAAAAGTTAAGATCCACGCCAAGGTCTATTTTCCATGCTTTGTTGATTATACTTACAGCAATAAGTTTGATTGGTAGATAAAGATTACCAATTCTATCTATTATACAACTCCTAGTTATTTATGGAACTCTGGATTAAATATATCCTTGCATGTTTAGTACCATCATTTGCCATGTGCTTAGGTATGACCAATGCGATAGTTAAATATTCAAATTGTATCATGTGAAGTTCTCGCCTAGGTCTAAAAGGGCGGATAAATTTTAGTTAGGGTGTCATATGACTTAATTAATCCAGTTCATGTTAATAATATATACCTTCAATTTGTTCCAAAATTTGGAAGAAAAGCTTTAAACTTTAGGGTCTTTGAAAATTTATGTTGCTTTAACAAAACATTAGTGTTAGATATGAAGTGCTACGTATATTTGTCAAACATCTTTAAAATTTAAAACCATTTTACTCTATAAAACAATTTTACTTTAAGTTTCGAAATAAAATGTATTTAACTTAAAACGTAACTTATATACCAATCATAATAGGGTTGTGCCATATCTTGAATCGAGTTGGTTACCAGTCAAACAGTTAACCGAAATGCTAAGAGTTTTTAAACAATTTGAAACTACTTTTGTTGAGGAGTTTATTACCCTAGAACTAGCTTAGACGTTAACAAAATATTTAATGTGCTCAAAGTTAAACAAATTTGAAATGCAAAAGCAAAATGTTTAGTGAATAATAAACGTAACGAATGCTAAATTTATGAAATATTTTAGAGAAATACATGTAGCTATTACTTGTTCGACTTCATGGAACCAATGATAAATGTTAGCGGTTGAAACTTTACTTCAAAACATATCTGATGATTCGGGTTTTGTCGAGGACCAATAAATTTTGCTCAAAATGCACAAAATAAATTTAACAATAGTTTTAATAACTTATTCAAAGTTTATCTAACAAAATATGTGGATGCATCCTATTCTAAGATAGCTTTCAACTGAGTGGCTACCTTTTTTCTCAGATACGGGTCAATAGCCCCATTCAGATAACTAGGGTCCCCCTTAGATCCTCCAGTATTTCGCGGAGGCAATCATCCGGCTCATGAGGCAGATACAGATCCTCCATAATATGGGTGGCGGTCTGAGAGTGCAGCTCTATCATAATGAAAATGCGTCGAATGCATCTATAATAACCAAACAAGTAGAATTTATACTACTTGAAATAATGAAGCTAGTAAATGGGCATGAAGTAGCAACCCTTGTATCGAGTTTGTACCTGATTTATATTATATATAACTATACAAGAGTATAAAATTTTGATATTTTGACATGTTGAAAAGATAAAGAATCCCAATTATCAATTGTATCCATTATACCCATGGTTTACTAACTGTCTAAGCTTTTACGTAGCTTCAAGTTCAGTTTTTTCTGTTAGTGGCACAATAATATCTACAAAAGGAACAAAACTAATTCCCCAACCGGTGAAAGTAAGTCTTTACTTGAAATACTACTTGGAGGACATGTAATGGATAAAAAAAATATTACACCACTTGAAAATGAAATTGCAAAGGTCATACGAATATCGGTCCAACTTACTACGGAATAACTCGCATTAAAAAAGTAAGCAACATTATACATATTCTAAGGGGGTGTTTGGATATGGAAAAAATAGGCTGCTTATTGCTTATTGCTTAATCCCACCGCAATAAGCAAATATAGGTGTTTGGACGGGAGTCTTTAAAAATCAGCTTATTGCGGTAGGAATAAGCAAAATAAGCTGATTTTAATAAGCAAGGGTGGGAATGCTTATTGCTTATTGTTTATTGCTTATTGGTCATGTTACTCATATAAGCTGTTTTATTTGCCAAACACTTAAAATGCTTATTGTTTATTGCTTATTCCCACAGCAATAAGCTAATCCAAACACATTTAAAAAAAATGTTTTTTCCCACCGCAATAAGCAAATAAGCAATAAGCTAATAAGCTAAAAACTATTTATCCAAACACCCCCTAAAGACTAAAGCGTTGGAGTTTTCTACCGACTTTTCCAACCCATGTACTTTGTAATTACCAACATTTTACAGTCCTCTACTTTGTAAAATGACATTTTCCATCTTTATACTTTGTAAAATATCATTTTTACCTCTTCAATTTTGAACTTTTAAAAATATCACTTTCACCCCTTCATTTTCCCTATACTTTTTAAAATGTTGTTTTTACTCCCATAACTTTGACTTTTCTAAAATCATTTTCACCCCCTCCATGTTTAAAACTTTTGTATTTACCCATAGAGTATATACATAATCTGACTCTCTTATAGTTACCACCCATCGACTTTGTAAAATGTAACTTTGACACCATTGAATTTAAACTTTATAAAATTCGTAAATTAGAAAAAACTAATTTACTAAATTTTTGTTTTATGCATGTGTCGTAAGTTTGAGTTCAACGATTCGACGTAAATTTAGAATTTTTGTTTGTTAGTTTAAAAAAAGAGTTGACTTGCTTTTTTTTATGTACACGTGAATATAAATTTGAGTTTTTCTACATTTCGACGTATTATTTATTTATTTATTTTTACGTTTTCGTGCTTCGAGTTTTTTTATATTTCATTGTATTTTTTCATGCTTATTTTTAAGCATTTTGCTTGGCATGACTTTGTATAGTGACTTTTGCGCTTTAGCAACTTAAGTCCTCCTAAGTTTTAATGCGTGACCTTCGTCCATAACTTTTGTGGTTAGCCAACTTACGTCATCCTAGGTTTCTATTGGTACCGGAAAAGTTCCTCTTGTAAATCCATTACTACCGCCACAACACACGACGAGTAAGATCCTAGTTGAAGACTAAACTCTAAACGATAAACGACCACTCACAACAAAAAACATAACCTTTAGCGACGACAGAAAAACGTCCTAATTGATGCCTCTTGTCGTCGCTAAAGGCTCATCGCTACTACCTCATAGCTAATACTCATTTGTCGTCAAATGACGTCGTCTCTAATGCACGTCGTCACTAAATGTATATGTCGTCGCTATTGGTGTCGTTTCTATTATATTCCGGCCGGAGTTTTTCCAACAAGGCTTCCCGGTGTCATGAGTCGTCGCAATTGTTTAATGTCGTCTCTAAAGGTGTCGCTGCTAATGCTTTTTATTTTATTTAAATAAAAAACAATTTATTTATGATATTAGTTTATATATTATAAAATACATATTTGATAAAAATACAGAAATCAATACATACCACGTTACATAAAACATCAAATATACCACATTAATTACATAAAGTGTCTAATAAATCCAAAATAAACATCAAATATACCATCCATAAACTATGTAATAAATCCAAAATAACATCGTCCATTACATAAAACAAGAAATATTATGTGTATTCGTCTTCCCCATCGTTGTTTTCCTCGTTGTTGACTTGGTTCTTAAATGAGCGGATAATATCTCCAATTGTCGTCACTAACGACGGGTTTTGAAGAAAAGCATTCACATCAACATCCTAAAATTAAGTCACAAGCACATTAAGTTATTAAAAATTTAACAAACTATCAAACCACCAAATGAATTAAGTCGTTAACAATTTAACAAACTATTAAACCACCAAATCAATTAAGTCTTTAACAAACTACCAAACTGCCAAACTACCAAACTACCAAAAATTACTCTAAATGCATCAAGTTCTTAACGATATAGCAAAACTACCAAATTCTTTAAAAATTTAATAAGTACTTGTGTTGGTTGCGGTGATTGTGACTGTGACTGCCTTTGGGATGGATCACTTGTACCCGCTGTAGAAGGACGTTTAGGCCCAATACCTCTCACATGCCCCTTTCGAGCACCTAACACTTTCTCAAATATTACGATCCAATCAATGGAGTCTGCATTGCATCACCACCGGAGTCGGCTATGTGCAGAGTCTGTGAAGCAACCTCAACAACTAAATCATTCTGTATTTCACAAAGATTATCAATATACGTCAAAACGAACACAAAAACAGACAACAATCTACTTCATTTTTAAGTAATAATAACTTACATATTGGTCTTCAACTAAATGATCAAAAAATTCCCCATTTATATTCACATGCGTAGGATGAAATGCTTCAAGTCTATTAAAATTCTATTTAACATTAAAAAATATGTGATACTTGAATAAACATTAAAAATATGTTATAACTGAATAAGCAGTATTGTAACTTACGTTCTTAAAACAAGCACTATTGTACTTGTACGTCCCTCTACGATTCTTAACTACTTGCTTCTTCCAAAATTCTTTATTTTGAGCGGATCGATTTTGATGTTGTTCTGTTAAGATGTGGTCAATAGCATCACTCCAACGTTGTGGATCAATGCCATTAGGGGCTTGAGCTCTTGTTGCCTCCACATCCCCTTCAAAATCAATAACACGAGTATTTGCAGTATGTTTGCGGCTTCTATACCGCACACATATCCAATTGTTTAGTGACGCCCAATAAACTGAAGACATGGGATCATTTGAAATCGCTCCAAAATCAAATCATGTCTACAAAAAAATAGGGAAGTTATAAATAAATTAAAATTAAACATAGTAAATATAACTTTATAAATAATTTACTGAAAGATACTGGAACATGCCAACCCTTTCGACTTCATACACTTCTTTCCATGTGTCCTTATCGAAAGCGATGTCACGCCACATATAGCTCCGAACCTCCTGAATGATACATTCGTACACTTCCCCAATCTACATGTGAGTATTTATGTTAAATGTTATCTTCAGAGGCTGTTTTCCGTTACCTGCAAATAACTTGTATATTTTTCTATTAACTGACATGCCTCTTCGTTTTGGAGCCATCATTGCATAACAAAAATATTAGTCAAGATAATTTTTTATATACATACAATATAAAATACAATGAATTAGAATAAATCTTAAATACCATCGATCTGTTGATCAACAAAACCACCATGAACGGATGTGGTGGATCGTCACCACCGTCACCTCCATGGCCCATCACAGCAGCCATGAGATGGAGCAATCCAATCCAAAAAAATAACATCCTGAAAAATTATTACACAATATGAATATATATATATATATATATATATATATATATATATATATATATATATATGATTACAACAAATACAAACCTTATTTTACTAGTCAAATGTAAAGATTTTTTAATCATTCTCGCCCTCATACACTTCAGTGTGACACTGAAACATCACTATCACAATCAGAATCCTCCTCATCATAATCAGTCTTGCAGTCAGACACATTATTGATGATACCTGTTGGCGGACGAACTTCAATATCATCTTCAACCGATTGAGAATTTTGAAAGTACCGGCTAAAGTCAATTGAAAGAGTGAAAATAGAAGAAGCATTACTAACAACAAAATCGGTTGAATCATTGTCAACATTTTCATTGGGATCATGGTCGACTTCGTTCATCGGTAGATTCCAATTTCTTCTATGATTAACATTTTCAACAACCCACTGCTGGTTGTCATTTTCGTCACTTCGAGAAGGTTCTTGGATGTAAAATACTTGCTTGGCCTGCATAGCAAATATGATTTGATCTTTGCTGCCCAATTCGTGTTGTGGGTCGATAGTGGTGAAATTATTATCAGATTTAACTCCTGTAGCATCGAACCACTTGCAATGAAACAGTACAGTGGAATAATTATGAGGATAATGCAACTCGATAATCACTTCTAGCTAACCATAATATTTTTGCTTATTCTCTCCCTCAGTTAGAACCCCCGAGTTTTGTGTTTATCGTTAGACGTCACACATAAGTACCATAAACCTAACACCATTCACTATGCAAGTGGTATAAGTAAACTAGGCGAATCCCCGCGCGTTGCGCGGGAATAGAATTATATAGTTAAAATAATAACTTTTACCAAATTATTATTTAATATTTCTACTTTGAAACAAAATGTTAGTAGTAAAGCAAACATATAGTTAACATATTAGTTTTATTAAACATTATAGTTTAATTTTTACGTCATTGTAATATATACAATTATTTGATAATTTTATAAACCGTTTAAAATTGTATAAATTATATATCAAATGAATGATAATATAACATGTAACAAAACATATGAACAAAAATATGAACTGCAACTTTTAGTAACATAAAAATAGAAAAACATCTATTATAACATTTGTATTAAAAAAGATATATATACAACGAATAATAAAAAATATGAAAAATAAACACTATAACTTTTAATAACATAAAAAACACTAAAACATCTATTATAACATTTATATTAACTCTTTATATTTAAATCACAAATCTCTTCAAATACATTAATGTTTTTAGTTAGCAAAACTTTACAACCTTATAAAAGAAAGGAAAATAAAAAGTTATTCATGATTACTAATTAATAATCATAAGTTAAAAATTCTTGAGTTGTAACTAATAAATATACATAAATTAGAAAACTGTTGAGTTGTAGTGTGAGTTTCAAATGAATGCGGTACTTGGAAATGTATATTTATTATTATTATGATTATTATTATTATTATTATTATTATTATTATTATTATTATATTCGTCTAAATAATTGGTTTTGATGCATCATTTTAATCCCTTCAATTATTAAACATAAAGATATTTAATTATAAATTTATAACATACATATGTGCATATACATGTTAAACAAATCACATATAATATATATATTTCCGTAAATGTCATATGTAATTCTTGTCGTAGTAATATGGATAAATTACTTTCATATGAAGAACATATCATGATAAGTCTGATAATTACATATCAAATGTTCAAAATTATGTTATCTTTTAAATATTGTCTTTTAAATATGTTGTGTAGGATAACCCAACAAAAAAATAATAGAAAATAAACATAATCAAAATAGAAAAACTACAATCAAATAAATAAGAGCATTGGGTGGTTGAATATATAAATAAAGATGTTACATAAACATACATTTAAATCAAATGAAAAAACTAACATTCGTCAACTTTGCTCAAACAAAAAAAACCTTGATCCATTTTATGAATCTTCTTTCTTCATTTAACACCATTCAACCATAGAAACTTGATGACAATTCTTCACTAACCTGCAATCAAAATATTTAAAAAAAAAAAAGAAGAATCAGAAAGATATTTCAAGCAAAACATTGATGTTTGGAGAGTCACATTCAAGATTGAGTAATACACACAAATCACATATAAAGATTAAATGAGAAACTGAATATAAAGAAAGAATAGAAAAGCTTCATTTGTTTTGGTTGAAAGAAAAAATCATATTACAATTACCATCGATGCGACATAACCCATTTCTTCAAATCATCATATTTGGATCGTGAATGCTTCAACTATATGAAAACTTTTGAATCACAATATCTTCAAATCCTTTTTACATGTAAGATTTTATATAACACAAAAGACACAAAGGATTGGCCTTTCTATAGTAAACTTTTCACTAAATGCTAATTAAAAATGATATAAGTTATAAAACTTTTGAGTGTTAAATCATAATTAAGAAAACTTTTGAGTTGCATTAGTTAAAAAAGGGGGTTTCAAATGAATGTGGTTTGAGGAAGTTAAAAAAGGGGGTTTCAAATGCATGAGATTCAAGAAAAAATGCTAGCTTTATAAGTATGTATGATGCATTCTCATGCGCACCAATTGAAAGAGCCGATAACTCCTTTTTAAACTCTGGAAATTTTTGTTTTTGCATATCATAGACCTTGTGAAGGAACCATTTAGGGAATTTCGTTTTTTCATCACTTTCAGGATGTAATGATTTGAATTCACTATATTGATGAAAAAATTATATAGATTTAGTAAAAAAGGAGAAATTAAAAACAGACAATGAATTAAAAGATAAGAGCACTTACACAATATACTTTCTGACTTCGTCACAACTTTCAAGCACAAACCATTGTAGATGTTTTCTCTCCTTTAGGCTGAGATTTTTCATTTTCTTTGCGCTAGCCGATCGACACTTAGACTGAACACCCATAACTTTGTTTCTTCTATGACAACATCCTCGTTTCTTTCGATGCGATTTAATCAAGTATCGACATCATCAAGGTACATCGAACAAAATGATAATGCCTCTTCAGCGACATAACCCTCGGCTATAGAACCTTCATGCCTCGCCTTGTTTCTGACAAAGTTTTTTAGTTTTTTCATATACCTTTCGAAGGGATACATCCATCTCATATATACCGGGCCTCGGCAAATAGCTTCATCAGGTAAATGCAAAACTAAATGAACCATAATGTCAAAAAACGCAGGAGGATAGATCACTTCTAATTTGCACAATATTTAATATTGGTTGTTTTTGCCTCTTTCATACCCTTAACCGATAGTGTTCTCGAGAAAAGTTGCTTAAAAAAACGTACAAAGCTCTACTATGGGTGTATAAATACCTTTGGACAAAAGCCCTTTAACTCCAATGGGTATCAAACGTTGCATAAGAATGTGATAATCATGAGATTTTAGCCCAATAATGTTAGTATTGTTTTCAGTCACTTTCTTACTGATAATAGATCCAAACCCATCCATCAGTTTCACATCTTACAAAAAAGAATGCGGCCAGGTTTCGTGAACGAGTAAGGTGGATGGGGTTTAAGGAACTTGTTGCCACTCTTTTTCAACCATTGACTTTTCTGAATGTTTAGTTTTGTCAAGTCCGCCCGAGCATTTAATGTGTCTTTAGACTTATCATTCATCAGAGAAGTACCCAAAAGACTCTCACCCACATTTTTTTTTCAATATGCATAAGATCGAAGTTGTGCTTCAGCTACAGAGAAAACCAATAGTCAAGCTCAAAGAATATGCTATTTTTAGACCAATTCAACTCGAAATCCTCACGATCTCTCTTAATACCAGCCCGTTGAGCAGCTAATTTACCCGGTGGATGAAACAATATATGAGCGTGTTGCGCTTGTATTTCTTCCTCACTAAATTGTCTTAGAGTGTGTCTTGTCTCGTGTTGGCCGTTATAGTCCAAAATTTTTGTCCACGGATGGTCAGCATCTAAGAACCGGAGATGACCAACATATACATCTTTATTTGATACTCGGTATGAGGGAGTGTCTTCATTGCAAGTCGGAGAAGCTTTGTAACCTTGTCCTCTCCAACCAGATAAACTACTACGACCTGGAAAGTCGTTTATTGTCCATACCAACATCACTTTCATATTGAAGAATGTACCTGTAGCTGTGTCTTTAGTACGTACACCAAAACTCCACAACTGCTTCAACTCATCCACCAACGGCCTAAGGAATACATCCAAGTCATTCCCGGGTGCTTTGGGGCTGGGAATCAACAAGGTCAACATGAAGGAGGACTCTTTCATGCATAGACATTGTGGAATATTGTAGGTGGTGAGTATGACGGGCCACGTGCTATGAGGATTAGACATGTTACCAAACGAATTAAAAACATCAGTAGCAAGCCCTAAGCGTACGTTTCGGAGTTCCCTCGAGAAGTTAGGATACTTCATATCG